AGGTATCGGGAAAATAAATTTCGGAAAGAAATATTGTCGATAGAATGATTGTCGGTAAAGTAATTGTCGGGGAAAAAATATTGTTGGGAAAATGAATTTCAGGAAAAATAATATTGTCGGAAAAATAATATTGTCGGTAGAATGATTGGTGGAAAGTGGTGTCGGGAAAATTAGGTCGGAAAAATGATAGTCGGGAAAATTAGGTACGTACGTATGTCTTTTATGATAATTAGGTTTAAGGTTACGTCACGCGTCTCTAATTCAGGGTTACAAACTAGACCTTGTATTACTTGGGAAGTTTATTAGAGTTGAACACTTTTATGATCTTTGATTGTTGAACTCTAATCGTTGTCTTTATCCACAGCACATTTGCATTGCTTATATAGATATTTTTATATGGTACCAAAATGTCAGAAATAACAAGTACAATATAAAGATGATATTAATTATACCGTTTTTGTATTATTTGGATTCAAGGGATTCCTTATCATCATTCAGAAATTAAGGTTTCCTGAAATATTAGGAATTCCCTTTTATAAGTTATGTATATAAATACGTATGGAGCATATTTATGTCAAAGCATTTCAAAAAAATTAAAAAATTTTTTTTATTGCTACTCCTGTTCCCAAAATACAGCCTGGCTTGCTGAATATATCACGTCTGAGTATATCTATTGAAAAAAATAAAAAAATATTGTCGCTAACAGTGTGATTCTTGAATGTTTTAAACAATCAAGCCTTCCTACTCCATTTACATAATCAAGATCGGAACTTATCCGTTTTAACATTTTAGGTTGCCGACATTCGTGTGTTTAAAGCTAGTAAATACAGTCAGACCTCCTTCAATGCATACTCCCTAAATGAATAAGCTATGAAAGACCTCTCTAAATGCATGGCCTTATTTGGTCCCAGCTCATATAACATTTATAGATTTTTACCTCCTTAAATGCAATACCTCTCTAAATGCAAGATTTTTTGACCGCCCCCCTCGGCTATACATTTAGTGAGATCTGACTGTATTATTTTAAAAAATCGATCTTTATTGCTTGTTATGATGGATACCGCTACGGTATCTTAATAAACTGGCGAAATACATTTGAAAATGAAATAATTTTGCTTAACTAATAATATATACATATATGATAAACAAATAAATAAAGAAAACTTATATATATTTATAAGAAAATTTTTGATCATAAAAAAATATTTTAATATAGTATCTGTTAAACCAAATAATTATTACCTCATGTTAAAAAGAAAGCAAAAATAATCTAACACTTGCATACAATTCATGAATAATCAGCTGGAATGTTTCTTCGAAGACTCAAATCTTCTTCATGAGTTTTATTCAAAGCAGTAAATAATTTTATTTTCATGTTAGAAAAGTTTTGAGTTATGCATATGTGGTTCTTATGATATTTGATGATTGTCTTACAAAGATACGAAAGGGAAATGAAGGACAGAACTAAATCTTGCTCGTACGTTTCATTGAGTAAGATAGAATTTACGAGGTTAATAGTAGCTGAAGAGATCTTGACAAAAAGAAAAGTAAATGTATCGTTATCAACCCTTTTGAGACCCTTTTCATGCATAAATAAGTCAAATGGCATGTTAGAACTTTGAGCATTCTGAGAGGCATCTGCTTTGCCAACGTAATTTGGTGTTGCCGGTGGATGAGGGTCATTATCAAACAAAGAGCGACGAAATCCCATTTTCTCGTACAACATGGATTTACCAAATGTTCCTTCTCGGAATAAAGAATGACAGAGAACTAATACTAACTTTGGAGAGATAACGTAAAAACGATGGTAGGGAAATTGAAAGGGTAATCCTTCAGCTGATTCTCCGGACACCCCTTCAAAGATTCCAAATCCGTTGTTTGTCATTAAAAATTCATCACTTTCGCCAGCTTGCCAAATTACAAGAAAACAATCAACCATAACTCGCTTATAATCATCTCTATCTATTTCAAAAACAAGTGGGTTGTCTTTTATCTCTTTATGTGGAGTCTTTAATATCTGAAAGATATTTTGGTAACCAGACATCTCGTTCACTTTGTAAGTTGCACTGCCGCATGAATTCTTTTACTTTCAACCAAGTAGGGTAATCAAATTTCTCTTTGGTAAACTGAGTACATCTATGGGGTTTACGATAGTCCATGACGAAAAGGAATTTGCGCAGATCATTTAGATCACGTCTGAATAAAGTTATTTGT